ATAATTACAAATGTCTGCCAAAGTAAAATGTAAAAGCAATTAAGTGTGTTCTTGTTATTGAGAAACCAAAAGTATTTTAATCATGAGTACTGATTTTCACGCAGAATATTCTATAATCAATTTTAGTATAGCATCTCCCCCACAATTTTGCTGCCTCTTATTTTTATATTAGACGTTACAGTTAAGGCTTAACCTCTTAGCTTAAATAACAGGATAATATTTGGCAGAAAGGTATCAGCCCTAATGTTATGTATCCTCTCACCTCTTCTAAGATCAATACTTCCCCAGAGTTCCAATTTTACAGCCCCTTCCCAGGTCATAAATATTTATACAAGCCATTAAGATGGAGGTAGAATAGACCCAAATGCACAACTAAGAACAACTGAGAATTAAGTGAAACTATAAGATCCTGAGCTGTGTCTAAGGAGTTGTAAAACAGCACATTTTGTGTTTTTAGTTGAAATGGGAGGTGAGTGAAGGATAATAAGGTCACCATCAAACCCTAACTTCTCAAGCATTGGAGATTTCACTTCTCTTTAGAATTTAGTTTTCTAATTTCTGTATCCTTCATCGCCATTTCTACTGTAGACTCATTTTGGAAATACTGTCATGGGTGTTACAAAACTGATTCATATGTTGCCCTCTTAATGAGAAAACGTGTGGAACCAATCTGCTGTTTCATTGCTCCCTCACCCTTTTGGTCTTGATCTTGATCTCTGAAGAAGGCAGAAGTACAGAAAGCAGTCTCTGTACTCATTTGTCCCCCCAGGACTGATCTGTAGCCAATATCACCTCTCTTGTGAATGATAATTCATAGACCAATCACATTAATAAGCTGATGAGTATATTGACCTTCAGGGAAGCCTTCAATGCTAACTCCACCCTTGGCTGTAGGTCAAAGGAAATAAGGACCTGGATAGATTTTTAGTTCCACCTGGGCTTCAACACCTCCTTTCCACCTTGTTCAGCAGATCCGTGTGCATACCCATTCATCTCCCTGCCTTTTGATTCTGCTGGAGGGACCCCACTTTGAAGAACACTTCCACATAGTTGAAGCAGGCATAAAAACCTCAGGATATGTCTGTAGGAAGCCTGTTGCTATGCTCATTGCAAATGCAGGAGGAGTCCATTGTTCACTTTTTGTTCATTGAATTCTAGCAGTGTAATCCTATATTGGTCTTCAGAAATACCTGAAGGTTTCAGATTTTTCAATGCACTGAATTCTCAGTATTGGTTCTTTACATGTTATCCACTGATTTTGTAGCAAATTTGCTGCTGAACCTGTGAGTTGCCTGGCCCAGCACTACCCCAGAAGGCTGGGTCTGTTTGTAGCATTGATGAACATACAAGGTATTCATGACCTGCCATTTTGGCTTCTCCTCCCATCTGCATACTCTTTCTCTGTCTAGCACCCATCTTCACAGCCTGTATTTTTTAATGCTTCCTTCAGTTACCTGTTGTTGTAGTTTTTGTTGTGGTGCTGGTATACGTGAAATGTCCTGGTTCTTGCAAGGCCACTTTGCTGATTACAGGAGGGATGTCTGAAGGGGTTGTACTGAGGGCTTGTAATTAAAACTTTGTAGATTGGGTATACAGTGGGTATACAGGAACCACAAAAGTTTCTCTTTTTATTCCCTTCTCTGCTGGAGAAGTACTAGTACAGGTAAAATCAAGGAAGGTTAGAATTTATTTGCGATGTTCTCAGTATATTTGCCACACCAGATTAACATCTTATTTGCCCAGTGTTCACTGTCCACTAAATATTCTGAGATGATTCATTTTCATATGTTTTCTTGCTCTAGCTCTTCGTTTTGTTTTGTTTAGAGCATTATTTTGTTGAGCATTTTAATTAGTTAACCTTTTTTCACTATACAAAACCTATTAAAATGATGCAAGACTTGCAACATTGACTTGATTGAGATGTTGTAGTGCCAGTAATATGTAGTAACATTGTGTTTTATGGTAAAATATAGTGTAAAGGTATAAAGTGTAAAACTGTAAAGCAGTTGATGTTTCATATGTGATTCAAAGCATCCAGATTCAATCACTTGGGCATTAATTTTATGTGTTTTATATATTTTGATGATGCAGTGTTATGTCATAAGCAAATGCTATTATTTTGTTAGTGGTTTCAATAGAAATTTGAATGGCAGCAATAATACTAAGAGCTAGTATGAAGCTTTACAAGTCTGCTGCCTATAATGATACTCAATTATACATTAGAGGAGATTGTAAAGAATCTATTTTCTCAGAAATACAACTTTCACAAGTTTTAAAATAATCAAGCACTGTATTTTGTGCAATGTATTCTAATAGTTGTTTGTGTATAGGGCGACAGCCAAATGCCAAGAACCCACCACTCAAGAACCTGTGGTTTATAAAACCTATAGATACATAAATGAATAAAAGTCACATTACATACATACACAGGACGAAATGCCATGACTACTGTTGCAAAAAAGCATCATGTCTGGTTCTTGTATTGTTTTAGACTACTGCTACCATGAAATGTCTTCCCATGGACTGCTTCAAAGCCCTATGAAAATAATGCAAATTATGTCCCATTTCCAACCAAAGATTTGGGAAGAGGTAGTTCCTGTCCTAACCCCAGTAGGAAATTAAATTCTGGAGTCTTCTGTGCACTACTGCCTTCCCTATCACTTTCCTCTGAATCAAAAGAGAAGGTAGAGAAAGGGAGCTGAGTTTGGGTGCCTGAAAGGCTTTTGTGAGCAGTCAAACTGAGTGGTCATAAAAGCTCAACTCTCTGGGGGAAGCAGAGGGACAATCATGCATTCTTTTAAAAAAATTTGCCACTTTTGCCACACTTACATTGTTACATTAATTGCTGTCATGTCTTTTTGCAAATGGGGAATTCCTTTGCATAAAAGTGCTTCTACCCATTATTCATTTTGGTTACTCTTTTTTAAACGTTTTCCACTTCTGTGATACCGTTTTTGAGATGACACTCTTCCCTGGGTCTGCACCGTTTCTGTGTTTGCAGAGTTCCTTTCTTCCCCTGCCCAAGATATGATTTGCAGTATATGTTCAGCTGAGTCCATGCCTGCTTTGGCCCTCATTCCAACAGAGAATGAGAGTGCCAAGGCTTGTGTTGATCCTGTTTTAATGTATCTAAGTGATACAGGCCTATTGTGATACAACTTGGACGTGGGCTTTCCTTTCATTTTGCAGTAGGACGTAGCCACAGTTAGAAACCCGCCTTCATTCACAAATCACTCTTGCTGGCTTAGCTACTTTCTACCTCATCTTTGCAAAGAAAGCTTGGCAACCTAGTTCACAAGTTGATTGTAAGGCAAAGACAAAAAATATATGATTTATCCTGCATAAAAATGCTCTGTGAATGATAAATAATAGTAGCTCTAATGTGACAGAACAGCAGGGTAAATTTCACATGCGTAGGATACCTAAAGCATGCTACTATCACAATTCTCAATGCTTTTATGGACTGGGAAGCCCAAACTCATAAAGCTTGTTTCTTGTCTTACAATCTGGTAACGGCTAGCATTTGATTTTTATCAACTTTGTCATCATTTCCCAGTAAATCTGTATTTGTTTAGGTTCAGTACTGGTTTGAAAATGTGTTTATTTAGTCCATAGACCTTTCTCTATATATGTATATGTAATGTACTCTTCTGTTGCTCTGATCCCTGTCAGAGTTATCAGAGCAAAACAATAAAACAAGGATAATGACAGGTAGGCTAAATAAAGCAGAATATATAATAATCCTGAAGTTCAAAAATATTACCAACAGCTCCTGACTAATTATTATATCTTGCATATGAAACTCTTAGCATCATTTATACTAAGAAACTATATAAAATACTTAGTGCTTCCTATGAAAAATTAGGTGTATAAGCGGAAGCAATCACCCAGCAAAAAGGAGCAATTGATTACTTTAGACCATGTCAAACATATTGATAAAATTTGCACTTCCTTCCATTTTTGGTGGGATTTGTATGTGTAAAGAAATAAAATACTTAAATGACATATGGCATATAAACCTAAATTCCTTTTCTTTCATCCCCAATGCCACTCCCCATTTCCCCATAGCTGCTCCTGAGTGCTCAACAAGCTTCCAGAGCAGATTGGATGATGATGCATGGAAAGTCTGACATTTTCCATTTTGCTGGCAGACTGTCAGGGCTGGAAACAAGCCACAACATTTCAGTTTACTTTTCATGTTCTTACTTTTCTCATCACTCACCTTTGTGTTCCAGATGCCATTACATGTGTTTGATTTTTGAATTGCTTTATAGAGTGACTCCCATTTACCAGCAGCAGTAGTATGAGAGCCACTCTTTAGTTTCCTGCCAGGCATGTTCCAGAAATGTATGAAATTATAGAAGCTGAACTAATTACATTGTTCTTTCCCACAAAGAGAGGGACATGACATCCACAGCTCACCTGGACCAGCTTTGCAATAAGTTGAGTCCTTTCTCCCCACAGACTTCTAAATGGTGCTATTTGTTTTTGAGCCAATATGAATTTGATCTGTCCCCTCATTTGACAATTGGGCAGTGGTGCATCTCGATCAGCTTAGATGCTGAAATTGGTGGACTTAGGGTTGTCACTAGTAGTTGGCAATTAGGTAAGCTTTAAAGTTCCCATAATGTTAGTGTTCAAATAATGTTCAGAGCCAGAAGAGTCCAAGGTAGGAACTTTCCTGACCACAGAGAGTGGGCATTATGTGCTGAAGCCCAACTATATGGGAGCAGTTTAGACCAGATGCTACAGCTCAGACTTTAATCTGAGTGGAATTGAGCACTTGGCAAGGGTCTGATGGCCTTTCTAAGGCCCAATGCTCATATCTAACCCTGATCATTGCCAGGAAATTGTGAGAAAATGACCAGATTTTTGTGCAGTGTTGCCACCACTTATCTAGTTTTTATGCATATCTTACTAGAAAATGTGAAAGCAACATTTTACTGGTGTAACTAATCCTGCCAATACACTTATCCCTTTTCTTTTTCTTTTTTTTTAAGGCTAATAGGATGGTGGGGTCATGACTTCAAAACCAGGTTTCTCATGGAAAACAGTATGTATTTTTCTCATTCAGTATTATATAGGGATTTATATTACAAGTTATTTGTGGTAATATAGATTGGAGCAGATGTAAGTCATTTCTCAAAACAGTCCTAAGAATTAAAAAGAGTGTGCATATTTATAAAGTGCAAATTCTTATTACTCTTTTAGAGGACTCTAACTGGGTAAGTTCACCTGAAATTGCAAGGAGGAGTCAACTCTGCCATGGGGCCTTGTCTATCTTTGCACTGGTCTTCTGCACCCTCAGGATTCTGGCAGTAATCCAGTGGGCCACTGTGGGACTGTGTGGGGGTCCTGAAAGTTTGCAGCAGTGCTGGGGAAAGGGGGGAGCAGAGGTGCCTGTGGTAGCAGAGCAGAGGTGCCTGTTAGTAGCAGTGCAGGAACAATTGACGTCAGCAGTCTCTACTTCAGTTGGCTGAATCAATCTGCTACAAACTGAAATGTTTGGGCACTTTGGGGCAACTGTCAGGAGTCTTCAATTGGCTGGTGGTGGCAGGTAAGATGAGTGGAGGAAGCCTCTGACAACCTCTCCCAATTGCCACTTGAGAACAGCTTTCAGCAGTATTCACTGGATAGCCACTAAGCAAAAGCAGGGAGGTGATTTTACTGTTCTTGCTAAGCAGCTGACTTTTAGCTGGGCCAGACCCACAGTGGGTCCTGTCATTCATGTTTGAACACCATGACAACCCACAGTGGTTCAAACAACATCATTTCTAAGCCATGGGTTGCCAGTGTGACTGATATGCTAAAGCAGTCCCAAATTCTCATGACATAACAATACACCATTATTGAGTTTCTCTAGTCTGTAACAGCTTCAACAGTAACTAAATTCTGAGGTAAGCAGGAGGCTAAAACTTGTTCCTGCTGTGCGTTGCCAGAGGGCAAATCCCTTCAAGGGGTAAAATATAAATTTCAAGATAAAGAACAATACCCCTTCTGCCAAGAAAAACAGAAAAAATCAAGGGCTAGTGTTACAAGGAATATCCCATTCAGATGGACAGATGGATACTACAGACATATATATCCATGCGATAAGAATAAAACATATAGATATTAAGATGCAATATATGCAGAACTGATAATAGTCACTTATATAAGTACACCACAGGGTAGCTTCATGATTCCCATTAAGGTGGAATCAACAAGTTCTTTACATTTTATATAGCCCATTTATCACATAAACCCTCTGCCTTGTATGTGAAGTATCCAGGCATTTAATTTTACTATTTTGGTACTCTCTAATCTGGTTTTTAGGATTGCTTGATATTTATGGCTTGAAATCTTGGTTTGTAGGGGTTTCTTAAACTTGCTCCTGGTTTTAGCTGCCACATGAAATTGTGATTTAGCCAATTTTAGGAGTGTTGACTTTAGATGTGAGGGATAAAGAAAGGAAAGAGGAGTTGCAAGAAAGAAGCACTTGAGTAGTTGCTGATCGGACAAATCACAAGCACACGAGTAGTTCCTGATCAGAGTTATTTCTCGGGGGTTATGTTATCTGTAACGGTTACCCACACTCTTCCAAAAGTTTAATCACACCTTGCAATAAGACAAATGTTTCCACAAAAGCAAGGAATCTAATGGAGCATACTGCTCTTACAGCATTGCAGCTGACTCCTGGAATAAATGGATTTCGCTTATCAAACCCTTCCATTTTGTTGGTGTGTGCTCTTCATGCAAGTTTAGAGGTGAGCAATTACTGTCTCATGATAAAGTGCCAACAAATGAAGTGATTCCTGCATTATTAACCAACATTATCTTCCACAGAGTAGTAAAACTATGGCTGAAGACAAACATAGCACGCAAGGGACACTCACCATCTTTTGACTTTCTGTGTCATACCAGTGAATCAACATGAGCACGTCATTCTTGGTGTGTTAGCTTGCTTCCCTACTGGGATGTTGCAGCTGCCACATCTTCCTCTTTTGCTCCGCAGCTGTGTGCCTCAAATGGAGAGCAACTTGCACTGCTTCCGCTTGAGACACAGAGCTGCTGAGCACCTTGTATGAGGGAGAAGATTGCTGGAGTTGCAACTTAACGGTGTGTTAGAGACATGATAGTGGCTTCAAATATTGGAAAGGCTGACATATAGAAGATATAGCAGAGTTTAGCTAAACTCCCTAATAGTGTTAGGCTCTTCAGCCAGGGAATAGTCTACCTCAACAGGTGATAATTTCTTTTCTGGAAAAGCTTAAGCAGAGTCTCCATTGAGCTGAGGTTTGGATTTGATGAACTTCAAGATCACTTCCAACTATTAGTGATTCTATTACTAATTTTAAAAGGAAATGTGTTCTGGCACTCAGCTCTTTTTATATTATGTATGACTAGTGAAGGAATCACAATTTTATGCAAGGTTACTCAATTAACATTTCCCAGCCCTAAACATGAAGCTGAAAACAATCTGTGACTGTGTTTGTGATGCATCTTGCAAAGAAAAACTATATGCATTCACATATGTATAAAATGCACAAACACGATAGTCAGTGGGTGCATGTGTGCAAAACTGCTACGTGAATGAAAAAGGGACACAAAATATATTCACATTTCTCTACAGCCTCAAAAGGTTTTTAGCGCAATGCACAACAGGATGAAGCATCTCTAACTGTGCAAATATTTTCTGTGAAAATGAGGATGGGTAAACTTGTGCCCACTATAGAAATTAGGGAATGACCAAGAAAACTAGTAGCAGGAGCACTCCATCTTCTTGCTGTATAAAATAGATGCTTGCTGCTCAAACTGCCAGTGGATGGCTTCCCCAACCCACAGCCAATATTACCCTTCTAATGATGCTATATCAAGACATGGTATACAAGAGAGTTACTGCAGGAAAATATTGTTGCTGATAGTGATGATGTCACTGTTTATTATGGCAGCAAAATTCTGACTTAAAGCTGGTGTGGGCAAAAAATATATCTGCCAGTGTTTTGGATTTCAGCTCCCAGAAGCCTCTGTCAGCTTAATCAGTGATCAAGCAAGGTGAGAGTTGGAAGTCCAAACCACCTGGACATCTACTTTGCCTGTTACTTTTTAAAGCATGAGGAGAAAGATTCTACTGCCATTGCATCTGCTTGTTCTCCCAACTATTTATAGATTCCTCCTGCCCTTTGGGGAGAAATGCCATAACACCCCCACCCTCTCCAAACTTCTCAGGCTGTGAACAACTTACTCAGGGCATTTGAAAGTGGGAAAGATGTTTTCAGTATAACCTTAAGTGAAGCCAATTCTCAAATATTAATTGGGGCTACCTAGCCATATCTTGGTTCTACTTAATATTGTGCAATGTTGAATTTTTGCCATACAAGACAAATTGCACTCTCTTCTACTCTAAAACACACTTAGCACCAAGTCACCGGATTGATTTCTTATAATGGCAGCAAAGTAATACCAGTTGGGCTCATAAAATGCCAAGGTCGTTCCATTGCATTTAAAGATAGTATTCTCTCTTAATTCCTAGTTGGTTAACAGATGGTGAAGGCTATGCATGGAAAAGCCAGGCACTTTGACCACAATTATTTACATCTCACAATGCTCCTATAATGTAGAATCAGATATTTTGATTCCCTTTCTGAATTTATCTGTCAGTGTTTGAGTGAACAGAATGCAGGTGGGTGGACACTTTTAAAGTGTTACAAGGTTATCACGGGTGGGTACCTTCACTGACCGTTTTAAGTAAATTATACACCAAATCCTGAGCACAATTCCCAAATGGCATTAAAATGTTGGGAAATAATTGGAGCAGATTATATCCATTTGATAAATAGGATAATTATAACTTCATTCTCATCTATCTTTCATTTAATTTTTTACCTTTAAATTAGGTTTGTAAATAGACTAAAAACTTTAAGTAGACTTTAAATCAATGGGTTGCTAAGTCACAAGTGAAGGGAAAAAATACTTTCTCAGAAAGAAATCAATGGAAAGAGAGTAAATAATGTAATTTCCATACACGGAAGGTCCAATGAACTTTGCTGATACCTGCAATAGCTTCCTCATAGAAAAGAATCTTTGTGAAAATGGAATGTAATGATGTTGGCTCACTTTACATTTACATGCCAATTTCTGTCAAAAGCTAATTTAGTGCATGCAACTTTGAATAAAATATGGTTTATAATGTTTCATATTCTGATCAGTTTTTATGGCATACTTCTACTTAGCCTTCAGAAAACTTAGGTAGGGGCTGAAAGATTTAATGATAAATGGGAAGCTTATTCTGTACAATTTACTTAATAACAAAAATAGAGCTTGTAAAAATATCATGAGTGAGTTATAATTTTAATACAAATGCTTTGTTGTTATTTAAAATTAATTTCAAATGAATGGAAAATAAGTTAGTATTTAAGAATTAGAATAATTGCTCTGTGAGTTTCAGTCAAGTACTTATTAATTTAACTGACTCTAGAAGATATAACAATTACTGACTTTTGTGGGATCAGTGATCTTGATACTATATGTAACATTTGTCCAAGATCCCTTGGTAACCTTTTTTTCCTTTTTCTATATTCTACTTTTTAATGAAAATAATAAAAAAGAAAAAATAAATCTTGTTAAAGACATTCTGAAGCTATCTAAGAACTGAATAATTTTCTAAAATGGATACATTGGAGAATTATTAGTAATTTTAGAAGATTTTTCCCCTGTGTTAAATTCTACACTGTGATTTTCTTCTCCCACAGCAAGATTTCCCCCCCCCCCTATTTGGCAATTAATTTTGTTTGTCCTCAAACATCTTTTGTATGTTATGCGACCTTAGAGAGGCTGCTCTACCCTGACCCAGATGGTGCTCTTTGAAAGAGGGAGGGGGTCTGCTATTTCGCCCACTGCAGGGGGTCAAAGGCAATGAGTGCTCATCAGTTTCTGTGGTCTTGCCATTTTTGTGCCTGCGTTACTCTTTTGGCAATCAGGATTGCCTTGTACTAATTGCTAGAGTACTGTGAAATAGAAATCTCTCTGACAAGAGATGGCTTATCAAAGTGTCCGCGATACTACACTAGATTACATTAAACAGAGGGTACCGTTTTTAAAAAAAACACTAACCAATAACCTGGTTCACATGACACACCAACTGGCCATGGATAACTACCCAAACCTGTCATGATTTCTGAATGTTGGTTTTTTTTTTAATAAACAAGCAACCATGACAAACTATGGCTTATTCTAGGGTTTCTTGAACCTCACAATAGGTTGCAGTATCATCTGAACCTGGCAGGGCGATTTTATCATGGTTTGTTGGTAATAGCCACTGAACCACTCAGGGAAGGTGACGAAACCCATCACTCACATTTGCTGCAGTGACTGTGCTTCTACCAATATAAACATCCCAAGTTGTTCCTTTGGTTTTCATTTTTGAATTTTTGAAGCTTCAGAAAGAGCAGTTGGAGTCATTTTTACCTAACCCTGAAAAATGAGCATTTTAAATGTTTGGGTGTTGTTGGTCCTTTGTCAGTGCACATTCACAGCTATCCACTCCATATAGGTCATTTGCTTGGTTGCCAGGGACTGAGTACCCAGCTGCAAATGGAAGAGCACCAGTGAAATGGGGGAAAAAAGATACAACAAAAAGCAAAGGACAATGTCTCCCTGCTCTGGTTTTTAAGTGTTCAACTAAATCTTCTTGGGGTGACCATGGTTTCAATAGTGCTTGAGTTAGCAGTTACTCCAGATATCTCCCCCCCCCCCCACACACACACATCCTTCACATACTTTTCTGGAGTAGTTACTGCAGGTGGACAAATTCCCCCTCCATTTTCTTTCAAGCCTTTATATTTGCATATGTGTCCATAGTTTTTTTTTAGAATTATCAGGGAACCACCCTATCCACAACTGTAAGTGTTCCGAAAAGGAAACTCAAAAGCACATTATGATGGAGTTAATATTGCCTCTTTCTGGAGTAGCTGGAGACTTGGCAATATGTTTGAAGTGCTGATTGGAGAGTGCACAGAGCCATAAGTTTAGCAATTAAAACTGAGAGGACTGCATTGCTCAATGAATGATACTGCAGCCACCTCTTCTGGTGCAGCAGCTTTCCCCACTTCTTCCCCATTTACCAGCCCTTTTCAATTGACAGGTAAGCGAACGACTACTAGCAACTGCCCACAAATTAGCCTTTACGTAGTTTCACCTTGTCCTACCTTTGTTATTTTAAATAGACAAGGAAACTGACCAGGAAAGACAACACAAATTGGATAGACTTAAGTGTACACTTAATTGCAAAAGGCTGACAAAAAAAATTGTGCAACTTTTGAATTGGAGGGGGGAGGAGGAGACAAATTAGGTTTGTATCCTATTTTGGGGGGACAAATAACCCCCCCTCCCCAGGGTACTGGTGGGACTGCCAATGGACAAGGAGAGGGAGAATAATCTATGGCAGTCATTTGTCAGGCACACTGTGGGTTGTTCAGCAAACAACCAATCCACCATGGCTTATTAGCAGATTGCTTAAGTGTGAGGTGTGAACCTGCCCAGTGTAAGCACTGATGCAAAGTAAAGTTAATTTCATGCCTTTTACAAGGAATGAATTTTTGTTATGTGGACATTTTTCCTGGCTGCATAATTTTCTTTTAGATAGTCTCAGGTGGACAGTATTTTATAGCAGTTAGATCAGCCAGGAGGAATCTAAAATATCTCACAGTTTCCTGAAGTTTGTATAACAGCAGCTAATGGTTACCTTCCTCAAGGAAACAAGCAATATTTTTATCCTCTTATGTCCCCAGATCCCAATGCCATTAAGATTCTTGTGAGATTCTTCTTAACAGTTCCACCACAAACAAAGTGGGTCAGAAGTTCCATTAACAGAGGCAGGGGACCACAAGACATATTGACTCATTCCAGCAACAATGACCTTATGCTATTCATTTCTTGGGAATAATCTGGCGCTCTTTGGATCCATGGTTCACAGAAGGGAGAACAGTACTTAGAAGATAATATATCCTACAATGCTTCAGATGTAAATCATGACATGACTACAAGTCGCACACCAGCAATCACTCGTAGAGCCGTCCCTACATCCATCCTTTTACACCTCGTGGTAGTACAATACAATCTGGAAAAGGGGGGGTTAGGCCTGTAACCGGTTCTCCCATATGCCCTGCAATTCATGGGGCCATTTTACACACTCAAACAGCCCACCGTGCCTTATTCAATCATGTCCAAAAGGATATGAATTCATACCCCTTATGTGTAAAAGGGTATGAATGAGTTTGTGAGTATGTGTGAAAATCAGCATGTGTGCGCGTGTATTATGCATGTGGTGTGTGTAAGAGAGTATGGGCTGGTTACACCTCATATGTGGCTCCTGGGAAATTAGCCAGGAGAAAATGCTGCCTTTGAGCTGAAAAATTTTCCCCAAATTTGTCCCAAACCAAATCAATTATTTGGAGTCAGTGTAATGGTGTGATTAAGGATCTGAACTATGAACCCAGAAGTTGATAATGAAGAGGATTAATATTTAGAATGACAACCTTCTCTTCAGTTTGAAAGGAACTGTGACTTAGGTAGAAAGTTTAAAATAATGATCAACAAAGAAATAGGACAAGGCAACAGAACAGCTTTTCCAGCATAAAATCAGAGTTTAAGAAATGGTGGGTAACATCTAACAGGGCTGCTACATTATGGCTGATTCTTCTGTGCAAGCAGGACCCACAGCTTGTGCAATGAGAATTTAGTGCTTCTTGCTGTAAGCCCTGAACCTAATAGAAAAGCTAGCTTCCAGACTGAGCTCTGCTAATCTATCCCAATCAGGGTATGAACATTTCTGCTCATTTCTGGTTTTTCTGAAGCACTAAACATCCATTACAGAAGCACTGGGTCCCACCCACCCTTGGATACCATTGGATGCTACTCATTAAATGCCAAGGTACATATATATAGATCCCATTTATCTGGCACATACGTTTCAGGTAAGCCTTTGTGGAGAAAGGAGACCAGAGACCACAACTGAGCAGGCTCCATATCCACCCATTGTCCACCTTGGCCCTTGGCCCTATACAAGTCAATACAAACTATATATGTATTTTACCAACTCATCCAGGTACTTAATGGCTCAACAAAGTCAGTTAGGCTGAACAGTCTGAAACTGTACACACTATTTGCCAAGAGAGTTCTTTCTTCAGTTTCTATACTGCCCAACAGTCAAAGCCCTCTGTGTGGTTCACCAAACAAGATGCTGCTTGTTTCATCCATGTACCTTATGATGCAATTATTGGTCCCGAGAAGAGCTTTGGGAGGACACCTGGCCCCTAAAGGGTGAGCATGGATGCTTGAATCTGTCTTAAGTGTCACCATAATATGTAGATGCCCCTTACAGTATGTAGGGAGGATTTATTTATCAAAGTTGCTCAAGTTATTGGGCCTATTTTAAAGATATTTTAATTAACCATGCAATTTCCCCAAACTATTTTGCACAGTTAGCATAGGACATATGATAGTGCCTTTGTGGGGAAGAAAGTGCTGCTCTCAATTGTTGCTATACTGATAATAATGTACTTTTCCTTATTTTGTATCTAGGTCTTTGGTAAAACTACAATGAAACTTCTGAGAAGAAAATCTACTCTTCTTACTGGTTACTTGGAATACTTGATAAAGCATTACTACAGTGAAGATATAAATGACCCTGAGAAGCCTTTTGTAAAAATAATCACACCTCCTCAAATGGAGGAAAGAGGATGCCAGCTCACAGTGGCTTTCTCTCTTCCAATTAAAGCTGTGTTTAAAGAATTAGAAAAAAGAGGAGTCGCTGTAAGTAACCAAGGCTTCGTGTTGTTCGTTTCTTTCATGCCGTGAGTTGATAATTCTGGAATTTCTTGTGGATGGTTTGTGTAGGGCAGAGCAATGGTGGGGAAAGCCCCTGTAAAGATGTAGTAATTATCATCATGAGAAAAATAAACTGAGCCACCTTGCTACTAGCAGTACTTTCTACCCAAAAGTTAAATGGCTTTCTTCCCCTCTGCCCCTGCCCCATGGATGTCAACAAGTTCTGCCCTACTCCTACTGAAAACAAAGGAGCAGTGAAGAAGGGGAAACCCTGCAAAAACCACACTCAAAGCTCTCCTACACTATTAGTACAGGCTTGGATCTATTGGTAGAAGTTAGTCCTCTAAGTGGGCCAGTACAGCACCCTTTAGAGCATCAGAACTGCTCTGGAATGGCATGAGAGGCAGTGCTGGGAGGATGCAGGGGAAAGGGAGGACCAATTAAGATTATTTGTGCTTGGTCCTATCCACATAAAAACAACCCTGCAGGATCAGGCCAGGGGTCAAGCTCGTCCCCCTTTCTGTTCACACAGTGGCAAAACAACCTGCGGGAAATCCACCAATAGGAGCTGGGTGCAATAGCATGCGCCTATCTGTTTTTCTCTGCAAGTGATGCACAAAGGAATACTGCCTATGATACTGAAGGTAGCCAGGACTAGTAGCCATTGATAGCCAGGACCAAGCCTGCTTTGGTATTGCAAGCATATGGTGACAATGGGTGAGTTACTGTGATGCTCTGACAATTACATTTTCAGTCTGTGACTGAAGGGATAGTTTGCCTGGGGTGACAAGCTCACACTGCGACAGGCTAAGGACAGGGAAGCGGTCCAAAGAAAACTCAAGCACGGAATATTGAGACAAGGAAGGGGACAGACCATGCCTGAATAGCAGAAGAAAATACATAGAAGAGAAGAAGAGTTGAAAGTAAAAGGTAGAGGAGAGAGGAAAATAACACAAGGGCCTAAATAGAGAAAGAGAGTGGGGCCTGGTACTGATCCTAAAATATTAAGGTAGGTTTCTGGTTCTGACCAACAGGAGACACTCCAGAACAGCCTAGATCCTGACACATATAGGGCGATATTCTTTGTGGAAACATTCTAAGCATCACTTTGCTTGCATGGGGATTTAGTGCAATGGCCCTGTGGTTGTTGCACTCTTCTACATCTCTGTTGGGGACTGGAATGCAAATTGAACGATTCCAGTCTGTGGGCCATCATTTTGTTTTTGATATTTGTTGACATAGTCTTGTTTGGATTTGAACCAATTCATTTTCTGGACTTTGAGGTAGTTCTATTGCTTTCCTATCTATTCCAGGTACGTTATTACTGGCAAGTAATTTCAGAGCAGCTTTCACTTCACTTTCTAATATTGCAGGCTCCTCTTTGAAGGAGTCCCTCATCCTTTCATCTCTTCTGCTACCTTCAGTATTATATGCAGTATTCTTATGTGCCCAGTTTCAGAGGAGTTTAGACAAGGCAAACTCTTGTACCTATCCTGCTTGAGGGATCCTGTGGACAGCTGGTATGCTGCCATGTGAATGGAGTGCCAGATTTTATGGAACACTGCTTTGATCCAGCATGGCTTTTCTTCTGTTCTTATGGGATGTTGGATTAAGTGTCTTGCTTTCACATTCTTTGTATCTTGTCTGTTAAAAAATAGAAGGAAGATGGATGGACCACTGGTTTGTGTATAATATTGGTTATGAATTGATTAGAAGTTACTTTCTAATGCATAATTTTAAAGTGCTGTTAAACTGATACTGGCATGGTAGGCTATGAATTATTGCTTACTTTATGATTCTTACTTTCCTGCATTGTGAAAGGTATATTTCCCACACATTTTCCACACAAGAATTCGCAGAATCCCAGAGCACCAGAATTCTAGAACATCAGGCCTTCTAGGCCCACTAGCCATATAGGTGTCAGTGGCAAGATGGTCAAAGCTATGCCTGCCCTTTTCCTTATTGTCCTTTTCAGAGTCCATTCCTGAAAATAACCATTAACCACTAGGCACAGCACACTGGCACACAGCTATCATCTCTGAATGCTTTGTCCTATGTTCTGCTTCACTGCAGAAAGAGACCCATGTTCCCTAATCAGTGGCATTCCTCATTCCCTCATTCTTGCATTAGGATCTGTGCACCATCACCAATGCTTAGAAGCCTCGGCATGCCATAGAGACACTGTGAGACAGGATGTTTGCAGGCAAGGAGAGATGCAGTCGCAAGCCCTTGTTGCATTCCAGCAACAGCAAGTAGAGAGGGAAGACCTTTAAATGCTTTAAATGTGTGATGGTGATTTTGTAAGCCCTGTATCAAGGGATAGCAGGATATTTATTCCTATTTCTTTTATTTCTATCCTACCTTTGAAAGGGACCCAAGGAGAAAGCATAAACCTGCACAGCCCCTCTGTGTTATTCTCACAACAACCCTGAAATAGGTTACACTGAGAGTGAGAGACTGGTTCACAGTCATGCAATAAATTTCAGGCTGAGTGAGGACTGGAACCAGGACCTCCAGAAAGTCCCAGATCAATACTAACCCCCATACCACACTAGCTTTCCAATAGACAGTGATAACAAAGATGCCCAAAATGCAAGGCTATTGAAGTCTTCAAGGGATGAATCCTGTGTTTTTCCTGTGAAAAGCCTGATCAGTTCTGATTGCTAGCCATGGGGAATATTTAAGTTGTGCTGCACCACTGCAATACACACTGGAACATGAACCTTTATGAACTGCAGGAACAAGATGCATAGCAACAAGTTTCTATTCAGTCATATTTCAACATATGTTCCTGTCAGATTCATAGTTCATCATAAATAAATGAAAACATAGCAACACCTTTTCTTCATTTTTTCTTAACTTTTAAAAATTTGGGATGTAACAAAACATGGCATTTACGAGGGTAATATAGCCATGCCTTTACCCAGAGCCCTTGCCTTTACAGTCCTTTTCTGATCGGTTTAAAAGCACAGTCCTCTACTCCTTTATTTGGGAGTATCCCACACTGAAACCTTCTTTGTGAATGAACATGTATAAGATTTCTTTGCAAATGTTTCATACCAGCAGTCCTTGCTTTCGTTCTCTCTCTCTCCTTCTCCCAGAGACCAGAAATTGGGGAAAGGCTTGCATTTGAGCAGGGTTATGACAGGAACACAATCTCTTTCTGAGATTTGCTGCATTTCCTCTTTGACAAATGAATATCAAGCTGTATTAATTTAATGAATGTTTGCGTCCTGTTTTGCAGTGCGACATGCGGGAACCCAATGCTCTCCGCATTGCTCCTGTTCCTCTCTACAATTCATTCCGTGATGTGCACAGATTTATTGAAATTTTGGGATCTTCAATTGTATCAGCAAAGCAAAGAGAAAACACTAAAGTCCTTCCCTGAGTTTATTGTGGGGCCTCTTCAGCTTCTTTCCCTCTCCCTTTGGATTTCTGCTTTTAGACAGGCAAAAAGCCCATCAACAAAAGTGTGAACTAAGGAGGCAAAACAGCTTCCATGCGATGACTGCAAGGCTTCGAAGTTGGGGTGGCGGGAGGGTCACCATCCTCACTATAGGATTGTATCCTAATTGTATTTCTAACAAGGTGTCATCCATGCTTTTGATCATTCCTTCCTTTCTACTAGAATGGATATATTCTGGTGATTCCACCCATACATCATTTACAATGTGCTTCATATTAAAACTAGTCTTTCCACTGATTTGGACTCCAGAAGTTAATGAGCTTTATGTATTTTATGTAGGGGTGTTCTTTAGCATTCTAGATACTTTATCTGGAAATAGTTTTACTTCTTATGGCAAACTGAAAGGAGACAATTGCAAACTTCAAAATATCTTTTCACTGTATCATTAAAATATAGTTATGCCAAAGATTGTGCCAATCTTTGCATTGGCACAAGGCACCACACAGAATCCCAGAGATGTAACCTGTTTTATATTTTCAAAAAATATATATTAAAGGGTATTTGATTTTGTATTAAATTAAGCTCATATACCAGTATTAGTCAGAATTTTAGAATGTGTAAATTATGCATTTCCTTCCTATCATCTCAACATTTTGTTGGTTTAAAGGCCTTCACAATTTCTCACAGACTTTGCACTGAATTGTTTTACTCATTCTGGCCATTTATGAAGCCTAACTAAGTTTATCCAAGAAGGAACTCATATTTCAATGATATTCATGGGAGTGGGAGGGAAAAGGGAGTAAACCTAATTTACTTTTCATACGTGGGTTTTCAGGCAGTGTTCATTAACTATCCCCTTGCCTTTACTCATGCCATTTTATGATTTAAAACTATATGCTGCAGTTTCTGTAATTCAAAGCACCTTAAAGTCCAGAAGATAAAGAGCAAAAAAGAGTATTTGTGTGAAAGGAATATACATTACTTTATGGACCAAATGCCAGCTTCTTCTAAGAGGAGTCTGCAGACGAGAAATAATCCAAATTAATCAGATCTAGGAGACCCAGATAGAGTTTGGCTTCTATCATAGGGGTATATGTTTAGATGTCATACCTCTGACATTTCTTCTTACCATAACCCTAAGCCTGACTGGAGCCACCAGGGATCAAGGACCCTGCAAATACAGAGCACATCCCCTCTAAACATTGACTTTAGTCACAGCTGAAACAAACACTGTGTTTGTTTAAGTGTCTTGCTCATCTTTAAGATTTACCAATCTCCAACTATGAGAAGGTGATGTTACACAGCATTCACTTGTGATGCTTTTTTGTTAGTACTTTGATATCAAACAGCGGAAACTTTGTGATATATTTCATGGATAATACTCAAACTTAACATTAGGTGTCAGCATTTTACATATTATTTCATGAAAGTATGTCTACCAGGAAAGCTACAGCAGAGGAAATAAATGTTTTAAACTTTAGTTTCTAAAGCTTTCAGTCAACATTACTGGAATAAGAACACTAAGTATTGCTATTACCAGTGCCTCAAAGTGCTAAGTTCTGTCTTTAAATTTTGACATATTTAAAATAAAGAACTGAATTGCACTTAATTGTGCAATGTTCTTCTCCATATGAAATGGTATTTGGAAGGTATCTAAGGAAGAGAAAGAAGGAAAAGAACAGAAAGATCAGTTAAAAAAAATCCAGCTAAAATTAGTCATGACTGCATTTTGAAACATGTTGAATAGTGAATGATGAATAGTCAATGATTGTGTTAATTCATTGTACCAAAATAATTGTAGAGAAATAGTGGGCCACAAACCAGGTAGTGCATAACTCTCTTGTTCAAAGTGGTATATTTTACTTTAAAAACAAAAGCATTTAAAACAGCAATCCTTGTGCTGTTTGGAAAGCTGCTTTTACTTTACTTAAAACCTTCATATACAGATTTTGCATGATGTACAGGTGTACTTGAGCCATGAGTATACCAATCTAGCAGCAATTTTGAAACATACTTATATTATGCTACTGAGAGTTTACCAGCATATATTAAAAATGCAGTGTTTGAAATAGTCTTTGTGAAAATGGACACTTCAGAATGGACAATGAAATTCAAAAGTGTCAATTTAGTGCCTTATTTGTGGACAGTTCTCTATTATACATGGACTCTTCAAATAATTTTTAGTTTGGAGTAAAACAAGTGAGCTTTAAACTGGAATTAGAATCACTGACTTACAAAGTCAAACTTTTGTCATATTTGTGAAATGTATTTATAGGGCTCCAACATTTCTAACACAAACATGATAAAGAATAGTAATTCCTATTTTTAATGTTCCCTGTTTTTTATTACTTAAAAGTACTCTTCAATGCATCATTTTATGTTTCCTGTTAAATATAAGTGAAAATTGATTGGGGCATTTCTCCATGGAATTCTATCTTTATTTAATCATAATTGCTTCTTATTTGAATAATGACAGATGAACTGCTTCTTTCAATTGCAGCTTTAAAAAAAAAGCTTTGAAGTCACAAAAACAGCAAAGAATTTAAATCCTGAAGCCATTATAATGGTAGGGAAGACATCAGGGGAAAATGGAAACTTATGGTGTTGTAATTTTCCTGCAAGGAAAATACTTTTGTGGCTGCACACCATCACTTTTGGTAGCATCCACTAAATGTCAACAAAATGCCTCGCTCCTGAAACTTCTGGCTTGCCAAAATGACTTGTATGGACCTTAAAGCAAGGCATTATAAATACTAGATGAGGGACCATACAGTAAGTAAACTTCTCAGTGGTTATTTTAAAACTGAAAGCAAATGATCCACGAACAAAAAAGAAGAATGTTTTAAATTCAATGCAGCTGCGGAGCTGTATTTTGCCAATAAAGAGTTCATTAGATCTTTTTTCTCCCTGACATTTACATCGAGTCCAAAGTACATTTTAATACTCCAAGGTATGAATTTCAAAGTCCCCTTTATCTTTGTATTCAGTTTTGAGCCATTAATCAAATAATATGAAACAGCTTTTTTTTTACAAGAAAAGAAAAGAACCGCTAAGCAATGGATCATGCATTCAAAATGTGCATTCCAGACATTTTTACAAGGTAATATGATTGAAGGGTACAATATATGCATATCATCACATAATGGGTAGAAACACATTCTTCTTTTACTTAAAGCTTAGTCATATATATTGAAGGCCAAATTGATGTATTTGCATGGCATGCTGCAACTGGGCTGCCATGGTGTGCCTAACAAAGGACTGGCCTTGCTGTGGCTTGTTCTCACCCTACTCCCTGCTCAGTCCTTCAGCCGGTATCCCAGCATCCTTCAAGCAGAACCCATTTTGTTTCCCTTGCCAGCCTGATCAATATCCCTTTTCATTTCCATCTTTTATAAGGACTTTCAGAAAGACACAACTGGGTTGGCTGTTGCTTTTGAAAGGAATACTGTTATGTCGTCCTTGAAAATTGGGTTCTGGGTTCGTCATTTTCTTCCGATTATTACTCGGTGGTATTGTGCTGGTGTACAAATGCACTGTTCAGATGGTCTGATACTGCAGTCTTGCCTTTTTGATTACCGTGTACATTGCAGCTATCCACAAGAAATCGGAATAGCCCTGTTAAAAAAGGCATATTTTTAGGAAGCCTGAGCTTTCATAGCTATGAACACCTTGTTCCCCCATAAATGGGGTAGCTCACATTTTTCTACCCTGGTTTGCCAACCCCTTTTGTAAGAAAATGTCACTTGTGGCTTTGCTTTACCTTGACAGTTCACCTTTTGACAGCTATCAAGAGACTTAAAAGTTAGTTTGTTTGTGTTTTAAGAATCTTGCATTTTGTCAACAGAAACTTTCCACGGCATTGCCCAGGACAGGGTTCCCATTTCAGACCTGCACAAGCACTCACTCCACTTCTGTATGTTCAGCTAAAATGGAAAAACAGGTTAAAAACTAACACAAATGTCATGCACTTAAAAATAATAATAGAAAGGGTGACAAACAGGTTACAGTCTTGAGGGGCCACCATGAAAAGGAGTCTCCAAAAGCAAAAGGGAAGCAAAAGGGAAGCAAGCTGTAGAAAGCAAACAATGGTTCTACAGGGGCAACAGGGGATCACCAGCCATCTCCACAGTTGATTTGCCATGCCCCAAGGTCACCAGTGGGGCAGCCATCACTTGCCAAGCTCATGTAGGCCACTGTAAGGGTGGCAAGGGGATTCTGCCATTCTTGCCCTGCTGGCTGTTTTTCCCTTTTCTGTACCCATGCTGAGATCGGCTATTTTTGTTTGGATAACATGGCAAGACATCCTAGGTACACCTACAAACAGCTTAACCTGCAGGAAGCAGTCTAGGATTGTTCAAGACAACAACTTCATGGAAACATCCAGTCACTGTGTGAGTTAGATACATGAAAAAATTAACACCAAAGCTGAGTGGTCATAATATGACAGCTGATGATGTATGTACATGGGGGAAAATACTGCAAATACTTCACAATGTGTGTGAGAAATATTTGTCACCATATTGCCAAGTACATGTACATCTGCAGGTGCATAATTTCATCTTCTGTCAGATTCTTCTGTTAACACTGACAATATATTTTTACTTTGACCTGTATAACATTTCAATATCTACCTGGCTGGAGGAGATTATACTTAGTTACTATTCCTAGTGAATAGTTGTTGTTGTTGTTGTTTTAATGTTTACTATTTACAGTGCTTTTTTTGTTAAAAAAAAAAAAAAGATGCCGGAATTCATGTCACTGCTGGCAGTAAGCACTCAGCGTGTGACCACACACACCAATCCCAAGCCGAGCAGCATCCCAAGCCAGGTGGCGCGGACACAAAAGCAGCCTGCAGGCACTATGTTAATGATGTTTGCTGTTGACCTTCTACGCCGACAGGCGATTCAAAATCACTTCGTAAAATCCATTGGAAAAAAAGGTGCCGGAACACCGTTCCGGTGCATTCTATGACAAAAAAAAAGCCCTGACTATTTATCTAATGATCAGACACTCCTAAACTGGGAGGTGTCAGATTCCTATGACCTTCTGGGCCACAGCCATCGGAATGGGAGTAGGAGCAGAATCGAGATTGGTTTCCCCATTCTCTGATGTCTGATATTTTCCAAAGAAGGGCTGAAAAGAACAAGAGCACTTTGGAGTATGAGTGAAGGAGGCTGAAGATGTTCTCCTTCCAGCCCTGCCAGCAGAACCCTCCCTTTCCCTCAGATTTCCAATGCTGGAAGGGCACCTGGTGTCATTCTTACCGTATCAGCTGCAAAGGCATGAGGGTTGGGTCTCCAACTACTTTTCTGAGGTCAGAGCACTGTCCCTGGCCTCAGAAGAGTTTCCTGAGCTATCCTGGCACCCCTTGGACACATGGACCATACAGCCGCTCTCTTATTTAACTAGTGCTAGGCTTCCTCAACCGGAACACCAGAGCCAGGT